ATAATTCATGCATGTTTGACCCCGCACTGCGCCCCGTAAAACGCCCGTGAACTATCAGCGTCCTGTAGGAAAGACGTCGATATCAACGTCATCCCGATTTTGCGCAGAACACTAATAGGAAGACACATTAATCTCTCCCATCGTAAAGGTTTTAATATCCATCTCGCACGACTTGGCCCACCTTCGACTTTCATCGAGCCGCGATCTCGTGCGAGTTAGGCAGTGTGAAATACGAGAGTTTTGCTAAAAAAAGAAACAATTCTTTTTCATGTTTCATGGATGTTAACATTATTGCGTCTATTGTGCTGTTGTATTGCTATCAATATCAATTATTCTAAACATAATTTATTCTTTATCTCTTATCTAGTGAGCTTTGTTTCTCTTAAATTCCGCTCTCTCACACATCTAAATTTAATATAAATATTTCGATAACAATTTCCTATTTCTTGGATGTGTTATTCTGTCATTACAGTGCGTCATTATTATTACGCAGCAAAAATGGCATGGTTTAATTATAAGTAATAAATGGTTTATAAATGATTTATATACCTCCCTTCTGAATTTATTAAAATATTAATTAGAGCATGAAAGTTTCTAATTGGTACGTTTTCGACACAAATCCCCATCGTGTCCCTGAAAATCGACGCCACCACGATGTACCGCGACGTCTTCGCGCGTATCCGACTCTGTCAGCGGCCTCACAAGCCGCCACCACCACGGGGGAACAATGCCCCGAAATCTGTTAATACTCCGAACGGCAACAATGAACTCGACGTGGCGTGAACACCTCGAATACCTTTTTGCTGGCGCTAATCCGAATTCGACGAGAGCCGCCGTCGAGTATAAAGCGACCATCGTCCCGGAACGATGCGTTTCATCGGAGAGACGGAGAGCGAGAGAGAAACAGCGAGGGAGGGAAAGGGAGAGAGAAATGAGAGGCGATCGTATACGTGCACGTACGTGTGCAGGGTAAGAGAAAAAAGCTCGTGCGACAGATAGAGTTCGAGAGTGATTTTCGGCGCGATATGCTTCTTGCTCGCCGAGTGCTTGTCACCGTATGTTACCAAAGAGAACGAGAGTTATTCTTTATTCTTACGTCCAGTCACCAAAAACACGTACATTTATATTGTTCGCATGTTAGATAACAAATGTGCATCCAGGTCGACTGGCGCACATGCGCCTACGCAAGAAATAGCAAATTGATTTATTAAATTGAAAACTGTCTTGGAATAAAATGTTTTGAAATCTAGCAAATGACCTGGTAAGATCTTTATTTTTCTCTTTTTATTTCGTGGAAAAGATTATACAGTATCATAACATTTACGATGTATCATTTATAATTTATTTTTTTAAATTGCGTCAATTGCGTGGCGTTTATCAGCCACACTCTTCACATCGGATTCAACGATTCTATGCGAAAGAGTCGGGACTGTTATTCCGTTATGTTACTTGCGCATTAACGCGATAATGATAATTAGCCCTCTTATCCGCGCGTCAACCTTCCAGCAAAATCTTGCAAATTATGCAACTCCGACATCACGAAGTTTCTCGGGCGAGAGTGTGTGGTGCCGCGTAAAATCCTCACAGAGACTAACACGCCAAGGAGGAAGCGGGGCACGGTGAGGGAGGGAAGGGGCACGAAAAAGTGTCGCCGCTTCTCAGCGACAACGGAACGACGTCCAATTTTAATCTCGGAATTACTTCCATTTTATTTCAATTTTCTTGTATTTAAACCGTCTAAGCGAGTTTACCTTCGCAATATCATTGCCGAGGATCGTCGCCGGCTGGTCGGGTTGGGTAGGAAGAGGACCGAGGGAGGGAGAAGGGTGAGCGAGAAAGAGAGAGGGATAAGAAGAAGGACATCGGCGGAGACGGGCGGAAAAGGTGGAAGTACCTGCTCTAATAAATTTACGACCTAAAAAGATTAAGCCGCGTTAGCCCTGTTCTTTATATTTCCGCGAGAGAAGCGAGAACGAGAGAGCGCTCGCTCTCTCGCCGCTAAAGTCGGTCCTCGGCGAACAAGACGAAGAGACGAAACGTTACGGTGAGGCGCAGGATGCAGAGAGAGAAAGAGAGAAAGAAAGAGAGAGAAAGAGACTGGGAGAAGACTGCGGAAGGGGAGGGGAAGGGAGGCAAGATGGTACGAGATGGAAAAGGATATATAAGAGATACGAAGGGAAATTCGCTTATTTTCCCATCATTTCGGCGTGGCATCTTGTCCGTAGCCTTTTCTCATCCACGGAGCCAGGAAAGAAAATTGCTTCTCGTTCTCGAGAGCGGAATATCATCCTGATGAGCCCGGGAATGCTCCGATATCCACTCCCCCGCAACCCTCTTTCCTCCCCTTTTCCCTCTCACTTCCCCCCCTTCTACCTCTTGCATCGAGCTCCAAACCTCGGGTGATGCCTCCGACGTTTAACCCCGTCTTCGTTTCACTTCGTTTCCGCGTTTTTCTCTGTGTCTCTCGCTCTCTCTTTCTCTCTCTCTCCTTCCGCATACTCTTTCTCCTTTCCTGACGATTCACCGCCACTCATTCCCGACGGTAATATTCAATTTGCTAGTCGTCTCGTTATTCGAACGCGACACCTCACCCTATCACCGATTTCGGAGGCGTCGGAGGAATTTTTACGTCGCCTATTAATAAACAAATTTGCGAAGAGCTAATTTCAAGAGCGTGCGCGACGATATGGGACATGACTTTGTTAGTTTCGTGTTGTTACTTATTACTTTTATCTTGGATAATATTCATTTAATTTCTCACGCGCGTTAAAATTGTAATCCTTGTTGAAATATCTTAATTAAGACACCACTCAAGTTAAAATGCCTTTACATTTACATTGAATTCGTAACTTTTCACTCTAGGGGCCTATTAATGATCGCGTCAAAGTGTATACTATAGCAGGGAAACCGAGGTCAGGAGTAATTCGCGTATAAACAATTATCCTCCAACCGTTCGCTGTCAGCTACCGTGAAGAAGCTGGAATTGATTGCTCATCGTTAGTTGTCCGATCTTAAGCATTAAGACTGCCGAAGCAAAAACCGAGATTCGATCGCCAATGGATCGCAGCCTGGATGGTTCACACTTACCACGCCGCTGCGTGTGAATTCGTCACGGACGGGGCACCCGGTGGGCCTTATACCAAGGCACATCTCGGCCGAGACTGAATAATTCATAAGCCGAGACCCCGATAGCATCGGCTCTTAACGCAATAGACTTAAGCGAGCTGCCAACAGCAGCCATGTTACAATAAAGAAATCAACATGGCCGAGAGAGCCGTCACGGCGAGCCGGGGTACTCCCTCCGGCGTTTTCCTTCCCTCCTTGGGTCCACCTTGGAGGCGCACCGCGTCGCGTCACGTCGCGTTGCTCGTTCACTTTCGATTTCGCCCCACGGGCTCGTTACCCTCTTAATGCCGATGGAAGGGTGGACCCCCCTCTCACACCCTCCAATCTTTACGCCGACCGACCCTCTTCTTGGCCCCCCTTTTCTTAGCCAACACCGTTTTCAGGGTTGGACTTAGGAGACCCGCCCAAAGAAAGACATTTCTGCAACCCTCCTTTTGGAGCAGAAGTCGAGAAATATACGGAAGAGAGAGAAAGTCTCAGAGAAAGAGAGAGAAAGAGAGAGAGAGAGAGAGAGTGCAGAAAAGAGAGAAAGTCTTGGCAGCCACTTTTCTCGCCCTCCGCATGATTGCACCCCGCCAAAGGAACTCCATTTTCTATCGAATCCTCTGAATCTCTCTTCTCTCTTTCCTTACCGCTACTTTTTTTCACTTTGCTTTGACTTACTGTTACTATCTTGCTCATTTTCGCCTACTTTCTCGCGGCTAGATTTTTGCAAATGATCGATCTCTGTCGGAGCAAAGCAAATGCGACCTTTCTTTAGTCGAAACTAGTTCAACCAGAAGTGCTAATGTCAATCTCAGAAATGTAACGACGCGGATGTTTGTTCGGGGAACTCTATCAGGCCAATTATGACCATGTTTTCGATATTAAAATTATTAGAGTTCTAACGACTATAAATGTGCATACTTAATCCAGATTGGCAAAAAGTCCTTTTTTAATAAGGTTATTTAATGTGCGAATTTCTTCTTCTTCTTCTTTATTAATATACGAATAAATGTAGAACAACCGATTTAACTAAAATTTTTTAAGGAATTATTTATATACAAGTTTATATATTAAAAATTATGTTGCTTTAATAGACATTTAATTGTATTAATAATATTTGTGATACAAAATACTGACACACAGCGATACCTAATAATAAAAAAGTCGAAACTTTTTCTTTTTCCTCTGAGTATTTTCTCACTGAGTATTTTAAACAATTTCAATAAATTTTTTATTGTTCTATTCTTTAGGTTTTTTCTTGTTATAAAATAATTGAATAAATATTTAAAATATAATTGATAAATAGGTATATAATTAAAATATAAATTCTCCTAAAAAAAAAGAATATTATTTTAGCTCTCCCTCCCTCTCTCTCTCTCTCTCTCTCTCTCTCTCTTATAAAAAAACTACGGTCATAGCAGTAAGAAAATCGTAGTAGTAGTAATAAAAGAAAATAGTAGTAGAGAGAAATCGAACATTCTGCAAAGTCAAAAGCGATACCTCGAGTCTGCTGTTGAGATCGGGGCGGGAAGAATGGGAAGAAAGGAGGGTGCCCTCTTCCTCAAGTATACGGTAGTGACACGTTACCATTATCGCGTCTCAGCGGCTAATGAGAGTTTGTGCCGCCATTGTTCCCGACTTACGTCGAGCCAAACGTTGTAGCGAGCTTAATGAATTTGCGAAATTAAGCTCACAAAATATTAAATACGGCCAATATTGTCACTTATCACTTGAAGGCGGGAAGAGCGATAAACTGTATTGCATGCTCGCAAAGTATCTCATAAATTTCTATCGAAGCGAAATGTACGTTTGTTTCGTCGTTTATATTTATATCCCCACGTTATTCCAATTGAATAAATGATAAATTGTCGTTACGCGTTATGTTCCAGGTCTGGTTTCAGAACAGACGAGCCAAGTGGCGCAGACAGGAGAAAATGGAGGCTGCGAGACTAGGCTTGAGCGAATACCATCACGCTGCTAATATGAGGTTCGTTCAAATCGTTAACAAAAAGCTAGTATCACATAAACCCCTGTGACATATTGAATACGTAACAACTACAGCGCGGAGATATATCGTTTCAGGAACGTTGCCGGTCCAGCTCTCGGTCTGCCAGGGGATCCTTGGCTCGCGCCGCCAGGATTGCTCAGCGCGCTTCCCGGTTTCCTCGCTGCGCCTCACACGGGATATCCCAGTTACCTGACGTCTCCCAGGCGATTACCATCACCGCCAAATGTCGGCGCCGTGGCCAACTCCGTTCCAGGTAACAATTATTTCTAATCTACCTGTGTCACCTCTTGCTAAGCATAACGCAGTTAATTTATTATGTGTAATATATTTAAAACATCCGTACATCTGAGAATATAAAATTGAAACAAAGAAATAATATTTATTAAGAAAATTAAACTCTTTAATATCAAAGTATACTACACGACAATTTTTTCAATAAAGTATGCTTTAACCGCGATATGCAAAGTATGAATTAGTCAGGATTTCTACGTTCATCGAGCATACCAACGAGAAGTAGAAATCGCATTGTTCGCAGGGTCGCTGGCCAGCAGTATGGCGAGCATAAGTGCCGGCGGCCACGTGCAACCACCGCCGCCAAGTCCGCCGGGACACGATCCTCGTACCTCGAGTATCCAAGCGCTCAGGATGCGGGCCAAGGAGCACGTCGAGAGCATCACCAAAGGCCTGCAGATGGTCTGAAGGTTAACTGAAGATACGCCAAGGGCGCGCACCGCTGCCAGCCTCACGCTCGTGACGGCGTGACGAGCGAGCGAGCAATCCTTCGCCCAAAAACACTCAAGATCGCGAGGAGTCGCCTGACCAGCGCGAACGGTATATCGACCGACGAGGGCGAGAGAGTTCGTTCCGTGACGGAAGAGGAAAATCATCGACGCGACGGTGCTGGACATGCCAAAAGTACAAGAAGCTAGGCAAGAAGAAAAGGCGATCGTCCGTTTGTGTGTGTTTGGGAGTGAACCTGATTGAAAAGGGATCTTGTTCTTGATACCAACAGTTACCAATGGACGATCTGATGTACATTGCTGACATATTAAATCAAAGAGATTAATATTGCAACGGTCGACGGATCGGTGGGTATTTTCGACGATTGTAGAGACTATCAATGTGATAATTGGCAGGTATCTATGATCAATGAGCATGTGTTCACGCGCGGTTGAAAATGGACTAATCACTGAGATCAGTCCCATGAAAACAATGTCAATGTGGAAAGTTAAATTTTTATCTGAAACAGCACGAAAAGTATAAAATATGCCTAGGAAATATCTACAAGATTAAGTCATTTCTTAGGGATTTGTGTTATTGTGATGTTTTGGTAACAACGGCAGCCGACCGATTATAACAAAAATATGTATAGCGCGTGTTTTTAATCTGACGAAAGATTTTCGAACGGATTGTATTCGTGTGAAAAATTTACTCGGGGCTCGCTCCAAATCGGCATTGTGCAATAGATAAAAGGAATTGTGTTGCGCAAACTTGTTGACTGAAGTGAGGACAAAGAAGATCAATTTTGATCAACTTGCCGTTATTATTCACGATACGTTTATTGCAAACTTGTGTGTCGAGTCTCACGCGAAATTATTTTTCAAACCGCGAATAGAAAAGTATATAACGTGTATACATATTACCATAAAAAGTACTCGAATAGTTTTTAAAGGAAGTAAATATTCGGCTCTTGATAATTATGTATACATATGACTTTGTTGTCAAATTTAATTTTATAAAGCAATATAACGCAGGTGCAAATGTGCGGATATTAATTAATATCGTCATGAGAATAAATGTGTGACAAATTTTTTTTAATTTATTTCTAAATAGGTTATCAACTTTTCATTTCTTCACGAATATTGAATTTATAAAACTGCAAGGCGACGATTTCGAGACGCAGTATGAGGCGAGAAATATTCCATGATGCACAAATACATTCCGTATTAGTCGATACTACGCGAATAATTGAGATATGGGAAACTAGCCAATGATAACTCACATAAAATAATTATATTATTTTACGGTCATCGAATATGTGAACAAACGTCAATGAGCTAGTATTGATTTATGTACGGGATATTTAAATTATCACTTAGTACGCGTAGGTCATTTAGAGAGATAATAAATAGCTGTCGCTTTTAATCAATTATCTACTTAGACCGTGTGTAAAGTGATAATTCAGATATTCTACGCATAAACGTTCAAATCCGCATTGAAAATGGAATTTCGATCGAGTCTCTATTTTTCTCGTTCAAACTTGCATTAACTATACGTCGCAATAAATGACGAAAAAAATAGGAAAAGAACAATTCGTTTTAGTTTTCAACAAGAAATTCGTTTACTCAACAAGAAATCGATTTACCCAACAGTTATGCCTATCATCGAATATCCTGCGTAACAGCAGCAGGTATATAGGATACTCGGTAACAGGCAACACACGTGCGAAGCAACGAGCAAAAAGGACCTTGCTTGATATACGGATACTGTAAACGATCAATAAATCCGATCAAATCGAGTAACACCTCGCAAAATATGTCCGATTCGCGCTCGTCGGCCGAATATCTCCTAGCAACTCGAGGCAAGTTGCGTACAAACCTACATAATAGCAAAATACGCGCGCGACCGAAGCGTTCGGTTAAACCTAAATCGTTAAGCGTAAACCGAATGTCGGTCGGTCCCTTGGGAACCTCCTGAATCGGCAACGGCGCTCACGAACTCGACGGCGGTCGTCAATCGCCGATCAGCGAAACTAGCGAAATATCTCTTGTAGAATATTAGGGTAAAGACGCACGGAGGCGAGAAAAGTGAATTTTGACATAAACAATATTCTGCAGTATTAATACGTTAAGGCAAAGAATTGTGCATATTATCTAGACGCCATTGTGGTATGTAAATTCCAGGAGAGAGCGGAGGAGGATTCGCCACGTCATTTCCGGTCAACGTGTTGTGTAATGATTGACGCGAAACTCGACTCGCGATGTGCAAAATCGTAAGGTGCAAGGTATTATTCTCTCAAATATGAAAATCTTAAGATCTCCATGAGTTCGTATGTTAACACTTTCGTTAATTCGTGTAACTATAGTGCATTCCGCGTATTTTTTATCTTGTGACACAGATTTTTAGCAAAATGATAAGTCTCTTCCCTATATAACTCAATATATTGATCTTGATGTATAGCTACTGGCCATTTTTAACATATACTCACGATTTTGCAGACCGTGTTTCACCGATACTCGGATCGTTTCGCGAGCGATGGCGATCAGCCTCCGCGGTCCGTAAACGAGACACTCGTAGAAAACGAAGAAACGTAGTTAGTCACTTCCCGGACGTCTATTTGTATATATACCCGCTCGTGACAGAATAAAATTCGATGTACATATTTAATCGTACCATATCGTTTGAAGACAGGGCCTCCTTTATTGAAATAAAAATACAAACGATGATAATATATTAAAATGGAATGACAAATACTTTACAATCTTTTCTCACCGTCAATGTTTTCCTCTCCTTAAATCCAAGACCCTTCATATAAAAAATGTAGCCAGTATGTGAAAAACGTAATAATAAAACCTCAAAGTTCATGAGATAATTGTATAACAATGCATAATAATTTTATAAATACTTAAAAAGAGAAATACTTGTCAATTTTTTTAATTTATAAATTTCATAAACTTGTAAAAAACTTATTCTTTTCAATATTTTAATTTGATAATATATATTTTTGTTAGATTCTTTTAAGTAATTATTAGCTTCAGATCTCGAAGAGTCACTGACTTATATTCATTACTTTCATTTATTTATTTACATCAATCAAGAAATTTACTGTAATTTATTACAGCACAGCTAATCCTTATTAGATTGCACCTTTCATGCGCTAGTTGCAAATCAGTCTGAGATGTATACTGTGAAAATTTTAATTCCTACGGAGAAAGTAATACATATTTGCAAACGAATTAACATATCAAAGAACGACTTTAATTAAGTCTTAATTCATTTCCGAGAAGAGAAAGAAGGAGGGAGAGAGTTGCAACCGGTAGAAGGCTATCATTCGTCTTTCTTCGAGTTTAATTAAAACTGAAGATTTGTTAGAACACGAAGAATCCGTTAACGCTAAGACAGTCAAGAATTGGCGATTGTTTAGAAGAATAATTTTCCTTGTTATCTAAGATAAAACATAGATTAATTTTTACTTTTATACATGAAAAATAAACAGCCTTTTCCACACTTTTCTTAATTAATATTAATTAAAATTCATATTTAATCATACCATCAAAAAACTTTGTGATTAAGCAAAACGGAATTAATTTTCATTTTTTATATTTTTAATCTTGATATATAGGTCTTAAAATAATCGAAACACAGAATTGACCATCCATATAAGTAATATAAGATATCTCAGTAAGACACTTAAATGTATGTAAAAAAAAATTGTTTCATAATACTTTGAGAAACGTTAAAAATTACACTCAATATCTTAAATGTTTATTTCATATTTTTCCATTCTCCCATCGATCAAGCCCATTGTACAAGTGCGACCAATCAGATGGGCCTTTTATTTTGGTCTGTTCATACATTCCCTGCTTGGGAATTTAACGTAGCGGCCGCTGCGATTTGATGCAAATGCCGCTCGGAAATTCCGTTTGCGCGAGCAAACGTGACAGCGAACGTGTGCAAGCCGATCATCTTTTTCGAGGGTGGCGAAAAAGCAGCGGCGGGGGCAGCGCCGGGGCGTGAAAGGATTCGGCGTTAACAGGCACCAACAACGGCAAGTCGATGGAACAATGGTGCTGAATGGTCCCCGGACGATTAGGTATTCCAATCGTTGCGTTAGGGGCTGCTGTGAAGTACGGCGGGGGTGAAGGAGAGAAAAGGCGGGTTCGCCAGCAGCGGGGCTGGCGGAAGGGGACAGCCGAGGGGCCGGCGCGCGGTAAGGGGACGCCAGAACTCACCCAATAAAATGGTAATTTCTGTTTGCGGAAGTTAACCATGCGAGCGAGCCTGGAGATTCGAGTCCATGCGTACTCCCTAACTCCAAAGACTAATAATACTCGAGGCAGAACGCTACCGACAGTGATATAGTTGTACAGTTGGAAGAAGGCGCGGGGTAAAATCGTGCGAGACAGAGAGCGTACGGAGAAAGTTCTCTCATGTGAGTGAGGGAGTTTGTGGAGAGCGCGAGAGTTGCGGGACGTGAGTGGAAAAGTCGTAGAAACTCGGAAAATAGGGATACAGTTCGAGAATTTATCCCGTTAAATTAAAGAAGACGATAGGAATACGAGATTTCTTTATGAGCTCGGCAGGCTTCGAAATATTAATAACTCATAAAAATACAAGGACAAAGAATTTTCCGTGTCTATTATTTATAAAATAATTATTTATAATCCAAAAAAAAGCTGAAATCTTTTAGATTCGAATATTATGTATCTTATATATGTAGATTTTAATTAAATCCGAAATTAAACTTCTGTTAAATAAAACTCACAATTATTTATATTTTTAATGTTCAAAAAAATTCTCTTCGCAAACCAATTCTACATTTGTCAAAGTATATTTGTTTCTGTTGCAATATTCTCGTGTAATATATATTTCTTAATTACCTCGTAAAATGCATACAAATCAAAGTCGAAAGTCTATACATATAAAATTTATACTTATTTTTTTAGCATCTCTTCGATCGCCCGGATTAATCAGCAATTAATTTATAAATATCAGCTCGCGTGGCACGTGATCTAGCTGGCCGATAGTTAGTCTCGTGTATATCAAATTAAAAGCTAAGACGTACTTGGCTCGGCTGGAAGACGGCAATCTCTCGCCGAGCTTGAAATTGGCACGGAAATCGTGGCTTTATTAAATTTGTTTAGGAACAGGTGGGGGATGGTGAACGGGTCTTGATTTCGGGCGAACCGTCGTCTATCTAATATCTCCCAATGCCCGCCCTGCCTAACCTTATTGCCCCGACAAAGTAAAGAACCAGCAAGGAGACCCGAATAAGACCAGTTTTCGGGCCGATGGAACGCAGATCAATGGAGCGGCAAGCCGACCGGCTGCAATCTGCAAACAACGATAAGCTCGAGCGAAAAAAATCATAAAAGTATAAAGAAATCGAGTTACGAAACTGATATAGTTTATAAGGTGCACGAATTCTATTTATTATATATTTTATTAGGTATCACCTAGAGAACGTTACGATCGTCATAAGAAATTTATAACAAGCGGCGAGGAATTCTAAAATATCAAGACACTAATAGTCCAATAATTAACGAATGAAAATACAACGAACATTTCACTAATTAAAACTCGAGAGAAACCAAAAATAAATAGATAACTGAACTATATGCCGCAAATGATTAATTGCAGGTCGACTTCAACAAAAGTTTCATTTGCAACTTGATTGTGAAAATATTAAAAGCTAGATGGTTGCGCTGAAATTCGATCATCGCGGGAGTAAAATAGTTAAATTCGTGGAAAAGCTATCATTAAAGAGTAACACGGTAGAAGCATATAGAACATCTCGTGCATTAACAAAATTCTAAATGCTTATACACATACATAAATGTATATTCATATATACATAAATATGATGTATTGATATATAAAGCTGTATATCTCCAAGACTTGACGAGCGATTAATAACATATATAAATCAATTAATAACATACATAATGTTTTTCTATACAGACCGCCCTAGCTTTTCTGTATCACCTATTATCGAATAATGCCTTCGTTGATACGCCCTTTGTCCGATCTAGTCCATCATTAACATATTACGTACGCGCTACTCCAAACGCGATTGCACGATACGCTTTATTAGCTGCACATTATAATTACGATAACAGCCCGATATAGAACGCTTATTTGCCCAGAGTATCATACGCGTACGCAGAACAAGGTAATAATTGTCGTGTAATTAACATATTATACGCATATCGCGACGGGGGGGGGGTATGACTTCATTTTGTAAACTTCATTCGTTCAATTAAAATTGATTCGATGTAAAAGCGTGATGCATTATCGCGGCAAGAACCGAAGAATCGTCAAACTGACGCAACAATGATTTTGCTCTAATCGGTATTGTGAATTATAAGAGAAAATATTGCTTTATAGTCTTGTCGTAAATTGATTAAAATAAATTTGGATATTTAATACGTCTTTGCTAAAAATGTAAGCCGCTATTACGAAATAATAAATTTTTAAAAATATTAATACACACCTTTATATAGCTAATATTTTAGACATGCTGATATTCTGTATTCGATATCACTTTTTTAACATTTAAATATCAACATCTACCTAATACCTACATCAATAATTATCCTTTTTTATATAAAAATATATAATATAAAAAACATGCAGTATAAAAAAATATAATTTACAGATTGTATAGAAATTAAAGACGAAATCACAACCGCGTGCCACTGCAAAAACATCTAGTAAGTATCTTCTCGACATGTTAATTTTCCTACAGTCAATTTTATAACTAACAACAGCCCGCAATACCTCATAATTTCTAAATCAAATCGTTAATCGCTAATAAAAAAATTAATATCTTTCAAACACACGATATTACTTCTAGTATTTAAAATTGTCGAAGTTCTATTGCAACTTCTCTCGCGAAACCTTATATAAAATAAATAAACAGTACGAACCAAGAGAAATATCGAGTTAACACACAGTTAATGCGATAACATCATGGCTCACAAATTGTCTTAATCGTCGCGTTATCACAACGCATGTCCGAAACAAGATGGAAAATCTCGCAAATTGCACGCCGCAAGGAGCGTTTTGCTTCCTATACAAACACGCGCGCACAGATAAATACACGCCCGTACGCAACGTGACTACCTAATAGGTATACTCGCCGCATCTAGTCACGCTGGCAAAGAGCGACGCCAGCTCCCGGTCGCCCCGGCCGACTGTTTAGCATTATTAATTAGAACCAAAGTCGCACTAAGTTGGCGAGTACATAAACAGAAATAATATTTGCACAGAGCGTTCATTAGACGGGCGACGGCAGTGGTGGCGCGACGGCGCGGCGACGAAGATACGAGATGGCGGCATAAACGAGCCGGATTCTCATTAAAATAGCCGTGCCTTTCCTTTTCGTTTCGCGGAGACACCGGGGAGAAAAAAGGAAGACGACGAAAGAGACGGCGGGCGAGGGCCGAATGGGGGGCCGCAAGAGGGCCGCTCTTCGCCGCTGAAGGTTGGAAAGAGGGGTCCAGAGATGAACAAAGTGACCGACGCAGAGGCCGCGAGGAAGGTTGACGCGATCCCCTACCCTTTCTCATCTCCCGCCTCTCCTCCTCTCGCACTCATTTTACCCGTTAGCGGTGGATGGTGCAGGGACTTGTGTGCCTGCAAGCCCGGGGAGGCTGGTGTTGAACCGACGGGGACGGGGGGGTGACGAGGGGGAATAGAGGGGCGGAAGGCGAAAGGGCAGGTGGAGGAGT